AAAGCTGAGAAAGAAAATAGGACACAAATCTAGGGTTTCGATTCTACATCCCAGTCCCTTTGGAGTTTGCATCGATATAGGGATTTCATGAATGATTTTAGGTTTTGGGACTTCATCTCGAAAATCAGTGTTGATTAAAGGTTTTAGATTAGGATATTGTGTTGATTATATGTTCTAGATTTTGGTTCTAGTATCAAATTTGGGTTTGAGTTTTAGATTTTGGTTATAGTATCAAATTTGTTGTTGAAAGGTGGTGGTTTGTGAAGGTGCCTACGGTGAAGGGAGATGGTGATAGTTGTCCGAATTGAGAAAGAGGACAATTAAGAGAGAGAAGAAAATGATATAAGTTTTTAAAATTTATAATTAATCTAATTTAATTGATAAGTTATAAATAAGTGCAAAAAAATGGCAATATAGTCTTTTAAAAAGAAACGAAGGACTAAAATGACAAATTTAAAAGAAACGAGGGACTAAACATGATTTTGGGGCACTTAAACGGAAACCATTAACGGCTAACGGCGATAAGGACTAACCGTGCAAGGAAATTGAAACATAGGGACAGTCCGAGTTAATTTTTAAAAATAGGGACTAAATGTGCTTTTTGGTACCTAACCATGGACGATTCGTGTAATTTATTCAAGAGAAAACTATGGGATTTTGGTACAAGCATTTGGGCTAAACAAAACAGCCCATTTGTTCAGCAGTGTAAGTATGAAAGTATGAAATAACCAGGACCTTACACGTTGCTTTACATGTAACGAAAGAATCCGGCAGAAAGACGGTGACGATAAACATGGCGGGAGCCATCTGCTTCCATGCGCGGTTGCCGTTACAGCTTACGCAGCCCCAACGACGGGTATCGCTTTTTACTCGCTTGCGGTTTTCTCTTTTCAAATTCGATAAAAGTTCAGAACATACGCTCGATTTTCGTTACGCTTGATTGGGTATTTTACAATCAAAACCCTTGATAATTTTTTCCTGGAAAGCTCTACAGAGGCTTCGTAAAGCGTAATGGTTTTCGGTGTTCGAAGAGTAACGATGCCCCACAACTATTGAAGGTTGTTGTTAGTGGAGCTACAGAAATCCTAAGGCTCTTATCTTCCTTCAACAAAAATGAGTAAGAACTGTCGATTTGGTTCCAAATTTTGATCATGTAATTTCGAGGTCATTAAACATGTTTATTCTTGATTCCTCTTCTTCGTATTATTGCAGATTATATGAAATGGTTCCTGAACAGAAATATGAAACATCTGCATCTTCCTTAGATGATATAATGATGATATTGAAGTCAGATTATGACAATGCTTATTTCGTCACAGGTACCTTCTTTCGTTTATTTACTCTGTTCATACAATAAACATTTATATGCGCAATCAAATTGTTATGGATTGATTTCAGGAAACTTTACTTCTGGAATTTATACAGACGATTGTATCTTTGAAGATCCAACCATTAGATTCCGTGGTAAAACGGCTTAAAATTTTGTTTTTTCTTTGCTTCCCCTTCAATGATTCTTCATACGTATTAAATCCCCATATGCATCCCTCCAGGGAAGGAGTTGTACTCTCGCAACTTGAAATTGCTTGTACCTTTCTTCGAACATCCATCAATCTCATTACAAAGCATCAAGAAAGTACTTTTTCTCTACAAGTTAAACTCTTATATGAATATATTTCCATTGATGACTTCAAAGGAACGTCATGATGCAGGTTATCAACAGTGAAACAGAGTCTGTAATGGCTTCATGGAGACTAAGGTGCTTAGCTACTTGTAACTCATCTTTTATGTCGGATCATTTAAAATGTATTTACAAACTGAAATCTGCAGGACGTATCTTAAATTACCTTGGAGGCCTCTCATTTTGATTGATGGGATTACAGTCTATGATTTGGATAATCAATTTAGGGTAAGCCATCTTGAATAAATAAAATTCTTGTTTGCATTAAATTGTTTGATAAATTAGATTTTGGTGTTGGTTTCACTGTTTAACTTGTAAATTAGCAGATTGTTAAGCATGTGGAGAGTTGGAGTGTTTCCCCTCTTGAAGCAATCGGCCAGATATTCACCCCTAGCTCTGGCAGACCAGTTTAATTTGGTAAAAACTACCAAGCATTTAAATGAAATTGTGTATACTAAAAAATAAAATGTCTATATCATGAATAGTTTATTGCTTAAATCAAGTTTTGTTTCACATGAGAGATTATAGATTGTATTTTTAGTTTATTGCTTAAATTAAGTTTTGTGATCCCAGAATCCATGTATGATTGCAATCCATTTCTATATCAGCATTAAATTAATATAATTTGCGAGTGGTTTGATTCAAATCATCCGTACTAGCAGGGCCAGCCCAATTCCTGGGCGAGCTGGGTTAAGGCCCAAGGCAGCAAAATTTTGAGCGCATCAATTTTTTAGTCCAGTTATACATACTACATATAATAGTGGCCCAAAAAAACAGCCCAATACTCTTATTTTCTGATTTCCGTTCGTGTGAAGGGCAGCAGGAACGTAGCAACCTAAAGAGACTGTTGATCATATATCTGAATTGTGCATAGAAAACCTAAGGGTGCGTTTGGTTGTGGAAATTTTTTCAGTTTTCTAGGAAAATTTTCCAAGAAAAACGAAAATTTTGAAAACCCGTTTGGTTCGTTCAATTTTCCAAAGTTTTCTAAGAAAATGAAAATTTTCAGTTTTCCAAATTGTATGTAAACTAGAAAAGTGATTTTTACAGTTTTCCAAAGTTTTTCAAATTTCTAAGATGGAAAATGAAAACTCCACAGGTTTCAACCAAACACATTTTCATTGAAAACTAAAAATGAAAACTCAACTCTATTTTCTGAAAACATTTTCTTAGAAAATGAAAACAGTTTTCCACAACCAAACGCACCCTTAAGTATTTAAGGTGCGTTTGGTTGTGAAAATTTTTCCAGTTTTTTAGGAAATTTTTCCAAGAAAAACGAAAATTTTGAAAACGCATTTGGTTCGTTCAGTTTTCTAAAGTTTTCTAAGAAAATGAAAATTTTCAGTTTCCAAATTGCATGTAAGTTAGAAAAGCGAGTTTTAGAGTTTTCCAAAGTTCTAAGATGAAAAATGAAAACTCCACATCTTCGAACCAAACGCGTTTTCTAAAATTTAATTAGAAACTGAAAATAAAAACTCAACTCTATTTTCTGAAAACATTTTTTTAGAAAATGAAAACATTTTCCACAACCAAACGCATCCTAAGCGATCCGCAGAGGTGTTCACAAGATCCGCCGCAGAGGTGTTCACAAGATCCGCAGAGACACCTCTGCGGAACCATTAGGGTGCGTTTGGTTGTAGAAAACTGTTTTCATTTTCTAAGAAAATGTTTTCAGAAAATAGAGTTGAGTTTTCGCTTTCAATTTTCAAAGAAATTTTTAGAAAACGCGTTTGGTTGAAACCGAGGGAGTTTTCATTTTCCATTTTAGAAATTTGGAAAACTTTGGAAAACTGTAAAAATCACTTTTCTAATTTACATACAATTTGGAAAACTGGAAATTTTCATTTTCTTGGAAAATTTTGAAAAACTGAACGAACCAAACGAGTTTTCAAAATTTCCGTTTTTCTTGGAAAATTTTCCACAACGAAACGCACCCTTAGAGTCACAAATTTTTTTCGTCTTTTAGTGGTGTCACGTCATTTCCGCAGTATTGTGCGTCGTTCCTCAGAGGATTAAAGGGATCCGCAGAACCCTATGCGGATCTCGTGGTTATTTTCCAAAACTCAAAATTATTTGCTGAAAACACCCCCTAACTTTTGGTTATTTCATTAATTTTCTCTTTAAATTTTGGTTTTAACACCTAAACATTACATAAATTCCTCTCAGATCCCCAATCTCTCCGAACTTGGTGGAGGATCAAGGAGGTGTCAGTTTTTGTTCTTTTCTGTCTTTCCCCTTTTACTTTGACTTTGAATTGATCATGAAAGCTTCGGAGAGTTGCTAACATCGATCTTTGGGTTACGTACCGCAACTTCCCTTCACTCTGTAAACAGCGGGGGAGTGAGAGAGAATTGAAATGGCGACGGCGTCAGCGAACACCGGTGCGGTGGGGTTGGGTGGTTGTGGTGGTGGCAATAATGACCATACCGTCTTTGTCTACGGTAGCCTCTTAGCTGACGACGTCGTTCAAGTACTCCTCAACCGTATCCCTCAAACCTCCCCCGCGATCCTTAACGGCTAGTCAGTCTCCTCCCTCTTCCCATGATTTGTCATTACTTATTATGAGAAATTTTGGATTTTGTATTCGTTAAAACCCTAATTGTATTGGGTAAAGCTGACTCTGCGAACTTAATTACTTGTGTAATTGTTTGATTTTTGTGTTTGTTTTTAAAAATTCATAGATATATAGTTAGATTTTGCTAAAACCCTAAGCCAATTCATATTATTCTTCAATCACGTGTGTGGATCGATGTGTATTAGGGCTTCTCTGTATTGATAATAATTTCTATCAGGAAGTCAATTTTCAACCCCATACTTGATACTTGGTTTTAACTTTTAACAGGAGCTTGTTATTCAATTTATGAATCATGTATGATAATAATTTCTTTTTTGTAGTCATAGATTTAGCATCAAAGGGCGCGTTTATCCTGCAATTATACCTGTAGAAAACAAGAAAGTTACAGGGAGGGTATGTTCATTTTCCATTTCATTTACTGTAATATGTTCATGGTGCTTATATCATATAGTTGTATCTGGTTTTAATTTGTTTTTACGTGAAGATCATTAACCTGATACACTATAATCTAATCAGTAAAGGATTTGGCATCAGGTTCTCTTTGGGCTTTCTGCTTCAGAATTATATATCTTGGACACATATGAAGACGAAGAGTATGACAAGAGGGCTGTTGATGTTTCTTTGCTGGTATTAGTTTATAATGTTATATTAATTATCTATATTTTCTAAGAGTAAAGTTTATTTTCATTTGTTTCCTTTTATCAGCAAATGACTTAAATGGTTTAAAGTTTACAAAATTGTTTCTATAGATCATTTACTTTTAAATCAATAGATGCTAAGATTATACTGATTGTGCAGGATACGTCTGAAGTGTTACAGGCTTATGTGTACATTTGGGCCAACAGTAGTGATCCTGATTTATATGGAGAATGGGATTTTGAGGTAAGCTTGTTTTAATTAGTTATGTGATTTAGAGCACATATTAAGTTAATATAGACCAATTCGCTGTCTTTTTTTCTGAGACATAACGCATATATATCTTAATGAATGTTGGTTTTTTGATAGGAGTGGAAAGAGTCGAAGCTGGAAGATTATTTGAAAATGACAAAGAGCTTTGTTGAAGAACTGGAGGACACTGCATCTTCCTTGCCTTGATTGCAATGATACTACTCAAAATTGTGTATGATGTTTTAATCCTAAGCATCTAAAAGTTGATACATCATTCCCTTGAATCACTACTTTGATGCTAACTTTTCACACTATACTTTTTCCATACATAGATACAAGCTTTACAATATAAAAGCTCCACATTGAAACCTGACTTCTATAAAGTTACATAACTACATAGAATGTTCTTTCCAAAAGCTTTTACCTTATCTTATCACTTGGTCCATCGATTACTGCTTTTACCTGTTACAATCACAAATTTTTTCGTGATGAAACTTGTGAAATGAGATTTGAGAAATCAGATAGTAATGATTGTTTCAATGCTTTTTCATAAAATGAAATGAAGATGTAATTGATTGCTTCCAGATGATGAAATCTCATAGAAGACGATTTAATAACAATAATTAAAGACATGATCTAACATTATTTTTAATTATTGCAATGTTAAAATAGATTATTTGTGGTCCTTTTTTAATTAAAATGAAATGGAATTTTAGATCGTTTTGATATGTCGACCTGCTTATTTTTATTTTTACCATTTCGACATGTGACATCACTAGTGCCCCAACGGATACATTCTTGGATCCGTCTCTTATTTTTATCATTGTTTTACAGTATGTTATTAGACACACTACTCATGCACGAAATAAGCTAATATACCGACTAAACAATGTTGTATGTTTTACGATATGCAATAAATGTTTTACATAATTTAGAAAAATATGGCCTACAAATGCTTTACAAAGAATATGATTAATAAGATCTGACAAAGAGAACAAGACAATATAACCTAATTATATAATTATTTTTTAAAAATAGAAAAGAATAATAATAAGAAATAATTCGAACCAAAGGGCCTTGGCTGAAGCGGTAGGAGTGACCTCTCGTTTGTAAGAGGTCACAAGACAATGTAACCTAATTATATAAATATCTTTTAAAAATAGCAAAAGAATAATAATAAAAAATGATTTGATCTAAAAGGCCTTGGCTCAAGCGGTAGGAGTGCCCTCTCATTTGTGAGAGGTCAGGGTTCAAACCACTTATGTGGTAAAAAGGTCATTGAAATGACTAGAATAGTCAATGTCAATGAGAGGTCAGGGTTCAAACCACTTAGACCAGACGGAGCCGGGTGCAGGACCTTTCCCGCTCCGATGAACACCGCACCGGCGGTGCGGGAATGCGAGTGCGGGGAAGGAGGTGGGGGTGGGGTTGTCGCGTTCTCACTCCTCCTCCGATTGGTTGTTTAATTTTTTTTTTGTTCAAACGGCTATATAACTTTAAT